TCAACATTTCTTACCCCATCTAAAAGAAAAAACCATAAATCTACCACAGTATTAATATATATTATCATTTTGGCCTCTTCAATTTTAAATGGGGAATATACCCCAAAATCTTCGTCAATTACAATATCCTGATTGTGAAATTGTGTAAAAAAATTTTCATACCAGATAAATTTATTATCAGCTGTTAATCCTGACATATCGTAAATTTTCCAATAAATTAACTGTCTTCTGCTAAGATTGGGCGGATAATTAAATTTAATGTGGGAATCATTAATATTATCATTTATTAACTTGTATAACTTATAAGCTATAAATAAGTATCTTATTAGATTATGTCTCAGGGGTAAATAATGTAATCCAGGAATTTTTTTGGTGTTAAATTTTTCATTATTTATATGTTCGATATCTATATTAATGAAAAGTTCCTCTTTTTTGTTCATATTTTTTTAAATCCTTTAAATATTCCATTCTAATACTTTCTCGAAATGATCTGCCCTAGCAACAAATAGGGAATTAATTATTGGCTAAGATTTATCGTCATATGAATTTTTTATTATATATTTGTGATAGAATTTAATCAAATAAATCCCAATAACATATGGTCTTTGTTTCAAGGTTATCTGACCATGGCATAGACAAACAAAGACTACTTTTTTTTTCCGTGGCATAACGTGTCGATGTTAATGTACTATTAGATCAAAGACTCTAAATCCTACCCCCTTCACCCCCCTACACATGATGAATCTTATACTATACTATAATGTAATGATGCCCAACCAATTAATTCACATATCATTCTTTACATTAGAAAGGGAACTTAAGTGACTGACTGGACTCTGGCCGATGGTAGATTTAACCAGTTCAGTTATCATTTTCTGTATTTCAGAGTTACGTACTTCTTCCGTTAGTCGCAAGGCAACATTTTGTAAATGATCCACATTATCTTGAAGCCTCGACAATTTAGTTAGCACCTCAATAACAGTTATATGGGTGGTTAATTCATATTGGGGATATTTACTCAAATCTATTGAAGGTTTCGGTAATCTACCTTCGGTTTCCAGGTAATCAAGGCCTTTAAAAATAGAAGTAACGTGGTCGTCTTTCTTTTTGTATAGATCATTGTAATCCATCTTATGTGGATAATTAAATTCGTCTAATTCATATGGCCACTCATCACCATTATTACATGATACCAAAATTTTTTTGGTAGCTAGGAGTTCATCATTTGAATAAAAGGTTACTAAGATATGTTTAAGTTTTACAGCATCATACTCTTTTCTAAAGAATAAAATATAGTTGATCATTTCGTTTACTGACGACGTCATTATACTTATTATTACTGTGCTCGTTTTGGGCAAATGAATGTAATAGTTAAGTGAAATTCTAAATTTTTATTACTTTTATACACTTCTTACAAAAATTTAATTTCTAATTAGTGACAATAGTTGTTGAAAACTTGTACTTTTAATAATAATTAGTTCCCCTTTTTATACCATTTGACTTAATTTTAGTTATCTCAAATAATATGAGAGGAGGGGGTAATAATGATGGTGGGGGCATTGAAGCCAAGTATAATGACGTCGTCAGTAAATGAAATGATCAACAGGATCTATACAAAACGAAAAACGAATACGTTTTTAAAGGCCTTGATTTCGGCCAGAGCCCATTCAGTTACTTATGTTTCCTTTGTAATGTAAAGAAATATGTGAATTAATTGGTTTGGCATTATTACATTATTAAGATTCATCAATGGTTTTTATTTATACTTTTAGCATTTGCTCCTAACTTCAAGATTTATTTATTATAAGAATAATAAACAAATATATTTTATAACATAATCAATTCAGTAAAATAACTTAAAATACTACACAGTGCTTTGTGTCTCTTACACAATCCCAATAAATATGTCACTACTGTTTTGGACATGTGAACGAGTTTCATTAAATGGCAGTGGTCATCACCGTCACTAAACCATACAAAATGTATGAATAGTGATCGCTATCCAATTTGCCAATGTATCTCATCTCGGGGTCTGTGGTGCGTTTGAAATAAAAGTTCAGTAGTTGTTTCATCTGCTACTGCTCTTTCCCATGATCTAATCATTAGATTCCGTTGAACTTCATTGATTATTTGGCGTTTTAAAAAATGAGGAATATTAGGGTTGGTGTTGATTGTTCTACGTAAGCAGGCCACGGTCCAATATCCCATTCTATTAATATCCAAAAAGGAATTCACAAATTGATTGACGCACATTGCCTGCAAACTATTTGGCTTGTAGGTGTTTTTACATGGAGGTGGTGGTGATGATGATGATGATGATAAACCTTCGTCTTCTATAATAAAACGACAGATTTCTTCCTTTTCTCCCGTTTGAATGAGGTCCATAAAGAGATGGGGATTTCGGGTTATGAAAAGTACGCGGTTTACCCTTTCTACATAAAAGGATCCATAGTCTTTCGCCACTATTCGAGCAATTAATTCTCTCTTCGCAGAATTTAAATGATAAATTCTGTCAAGCTTTCCTATGTTAATACAACATATATCATCACACTTTTTATCACCATCACTGAAAACCCGAAATGTATAATTTTTAGGCCATTTATTACAATATTCGGGTACCCCATAAGGATAACAACGTTTATAGTTGGGGTCCCTATAAATTATATCTTGACGAGGCTTGTGATGATAATATGCCTTCCCATCATGTAAACAATAGGGTTTATGTCGAATCATCCTTCGATTAACGTATTTAAGCCATTTTTTATTTTTAAACCATGCTTCGTAAGCTCTCACATCTCGGGTTAATTCCCAACGTATATTTTTAAACATCATGTGCCTGAAATAATAATGCCGATTCAAATATTGTTTTATAGACATAAGCTTTTTCAGCGCTGCCTGATCAACTTTGCTACATGACGATGGAATCGATATTCCGTCTGCTATCATCATCTCTCTCAGAGCTTCTCGTTCCTGCTTGGAAGCTTGTATCATCATTAGAAATATGGAAGGATCTTTGGCGTAGGACCTATATCCCTTGATAGGCAATATTAAGTAATCCGGATCACGGGGGTACTTGAAATTATGTTCACAGAACATAATGCTTCTTTGGTCAATGTTAGAGAAGAATTCTACAAACATATAAGAACAATAATTTTCAGCCTCATTAAATAAGACTCGCAGTATAAATTGCAATTGGGATGCCGCAGGATATCCTTCTTGAGTAGATCCCATCCATATTTTAATAGCATAAACATTTACAATTTGGGGGTTAAATTGTATTAATTTACTTATAGATGGTTCTAAAGTAATATTTAAACCAATTGAAAAATATTTGTCTACATATTTTTTTATTTGGGAACTTGATGTAATCGAAGATGTAAAAGATTTAAAGGGAAACATGGATACCATGGTTTTAAAACCTTTGTGCAAATGAGTATTCCGAATGTTAGTAGGAGTAAATCCCTTTATGTACAATGAGTGTGAAAAAAAATTTAAGTATAGATTCAACCAGAACAAAGTTTTCAGCAAATATTATCACAAATTAGGAAAAACAAATTGACAAGAAGTATAAAAGTAATAAAAATTTAGAATTTCACTAACTATCCATCCATTCATTAACCAAAAACGAGAACATATTTTAGTAACCTTTTATTCAAATGATGAACTCTTCTGAAGTGCAGAAAATGATAACTGAACTGGTTAAATCTACCATCGGCCAGAGTTCAGTCAGTCACTTTGATCTTTGATCTAATAGTACATTAACATCGACACGTTATGCCACGGAAAAAAAAAGTAGTCTTTGTTTGTCTATGCCATGGTCAGATAACCTTGAAACAAAGACCATATGTTATTGGGATTTATTTGATTAAATTCTATCACAAATATATAATAAAAAATTCATATGACGATAAATCTTAGCCAATAATTAATTCCCTATTTGTTGCTAGGGCAGATCATTTCGAGAAAGTATTAGAATTGAATATTTAAAGGATTTTAAAAAATATGAACAAAAAAGAGGAACTTTTCATTAATATAGATATCGAACATATAAATAATGAAAAATTTAACACCAAAAAAATTCCTGGATTACATTATTTACCCCTGAGACATAATCTAATAAGATAATTATTTATAGTTTATAAGTTATACAAGTTAATAAATGATAATATTAATGATTCCCACATTAAATTTAATTATCATGAAATAATGATGAGAGATATTTTTTAATGGTTTTGTCAGTTTGTTCAATCCTCTCCAGATTTTTATTCCGTTACAACCAATCATAACATCCTAATGATATTCTCTCTAAGGCCTGGTGATTTTTTTTTGAAAAATTGTTTTGATTCAATTCATCTGCCACTACTCTTTCCCACGATCTAATCATTAGATTCCGTTGAACTTCGTTGATTAATTGGAGTTTAAATAAATGAGGAATATTACGGTTGGTGTTGATTGCTCTACGTAAGCAGGCCATGGTCCAATATCCCATTCTAGTAATATCCAAAAAGGAATTCACAAATTGGTGGTGGTGATGATGATAAACCTTCGTCTTCTATAATAAAATGACAGATTTCTTCCTTTTCTCCCATTTGAATGAGGTCCATAAAGAGATGGGGATTTCGGGTTATGAAAAGTACGCGGTTTACCTTTTCTACATAAAATGATCCGTATTCTTTCGCCACTATTCGAGCAATTAATTCGCTCTTCGCCGAATTTAAATGATAAATTCGGTCAAGGTTTCCTAGCCTAATACAACATATATCATCACACTTTGTACACCTGAATATTCCAAATATTACTAAGAATGTGGCTACTAAATTTCTATTGGATGGAAGAGTAGCGAAGCTTGTGTTGGTTGGCCGTCAGTGGATGTAAAATGTGAGAGTAGCCTGCGACTACTTGATATTTATATAATTCAACTGATACTGCTACCATCTACTCCGGGCAACCAGCTGTCTCCTCCACTCTTTGAGCAATGTTTTGTAATTTTTACTGCCCCCTTTTTTTTTTTTTTTTAGTAAATTTTGATAGCAGGATGATTTGTTGATTTAAAGTGGTGAGACCACAAAAATATTAATGCTTGCTCTACTTGGTGGAGGTTTCCAGGTAAGCAATCAAGTCTGCACGCTCATTCTTCTTCTTAAGACCAACGAACACCATCTTTGTGCCTGGAATAAATTTCTTGGGGTTGGTCAAGTAGATATCCAGATTATCTTTGTCCCACGTGATACTCTTGGCCTTGTTGGCATAAGTGTAAATATAGCCAGAAGCCTGACCAGTTTGGCGGCCGAAGAGGCCATTTAGATTTGGTCCAGTTTTGTGCTTGCCGTTTAATTCAACAGTGTGACACTGTGCACACCTCTGCATAAAGATCTTCTTACCTTTTTCCCTCTCAACCATCTTCTGAAAAAAAAAAACATTAACTTAAAAGGTTAAGGTGTATGCTATTTATTTATTTATTTATTTATATGTTTCATATACTTACTTACAAAAAAAGGACACTTTTTTCTTTGTTTTAGGATTCTGATATACTCTGCGAGAACACTGCACAACCTTGAGTCAAAACACACTCACAGATGGACTAAAAAATACTGTAGATACAGATTTGGATAATGTATCTAACCAGCTACAACTTCAACCAAACACAGTTTCAAATGAGAAAACATAAGAAATAAATAATTACACCCTCCTATAAAAATATGATATGAAAATGTGGTAAGGATGACATTTTAACTTTTCGGATTAGAGTTTTTATAGCATTGGTGCCTGAGCTGGGCCCTGAGGTGGGCCCTGGGGAGGCAACTGTGACTGTACCTGCGGTGGACCTTGCAACTGAAGTGGTGATGGCTGGCCTTGGGTTGTCATATGAATATGAACGCTAGGTGGTACCTGTTGCTGCCTGAGAAATTGATGCCCTCTGATTGAAACCCAAACAGAGGTAAAAATAACACATACATATACATTTATTTACAAAAAAACATTTTTTTTAATTGTTTTATTTAATGAATGTTGGTCTCAGGATTGGTTCACCTCCCTTTCTATGACAAAGTTGGTTAAAGAATAATAAGTATTTTCTATTTGATGGATCATTAGAATTTTTTGAGGCTAGTTTTAATAAATATGGCTGTAAACTCTTAAAAACAAGTTTCATCTCTGAAAGTGTTTCATTAAAGTTAAGGTATAGGGTAACTGGTGTCACATATTCGTCAAAAATCCAACTGTCGGCTTCTAAAAACAGCCTGTCAGTTTGATTACCCCAAAATAAGATTTGTGCATACTTACGAGAAAATTCCCTAATGCTACATTTTAGATAGGCCAATCCATAATATATCTTTCTATATACAAATCAGTGACTGCCAATTGCTCCACTCCATATATAAAACTAGTTGCGGCTTCTAAAAACAGCCTGTCAGTTTGATTACCCCAAAATAAGATTTGTGCATACTTACGAGAAAATTCCCTAATGCTACATTTTAGATGATGCATATTCAACACAAACACACTTTTTACTATTTGCTTACAAAGTGGACAAAATATTTCATCTTTGTAGATAATGTTTGATAAAAAAGAGTACATCCCATAAGAATTATTCATATATCTAAGGCAGCCATAATTATTATAATCAAATTTCCCTGTAGATTTTTTACCCAACAAAATTTTGGCTGATAATGTAAACATACATTGAGGACAAATACTGTGACCACATCCAACCATATAATCATCAAACATAAAAACCATGTCACCTGACCCATTCATATCTAAACAAATGGGGCAAGATACAATTTGATGACGAATGACATTTTTCTTGATAGTTTTAAGGGAACCGTGTTTAATTGATATATCAATGACAACGTCCTTATTATCAGGTCCCCAGAGTCGGTTGGACACCAGGTTTGTTTGATATTTTTTCAAAAATGGTATTTTAACCAGGACTGTAGAATTATTTTTAGTTTCAAAACACTCGTCTTGTCTAAAATCATGTTCATTTTCAAACAGATTTATATCAGTATCAATTGATCTGATATTTGGTGAACAATTAAATATAATAGTTAACGATGCCTTTTCTGCTTCTGTCATAATTTCTATGATGTTTCTTACTTTGATATTCTGCTGTAATCTTGACCTTGTAGGAGAAATCTTGCAAGTCAAAAAAAGTTGGCAACCTCTTGAGTTTTTTGAATTTGATATTTTGTATATATTTTTTTTTAAATGTCTTCTCTTTGGACATTTCCCCAGGGATAATTCCATATTAAACCTAGAAGAAATATGAAAGATAACATTAATATTAATTAAAAAAAAGGGAGAAGAAATGGAGTTGTAAACAAGGGGAAAAAGCTCTTTATTCCACAATTAACTATTCAAAAAAAAAAAAATAAACCAAAAAAACAACACTTTTCTCGGGTTTGGTATGTAGAAAGATGTCTGAAAAGTGATAGGGTAAATAAGAGTAGGATGGAAGTAGTAGTAGTAGTAGTAGTAGTAGTGGTAGAAGGGTAGAGATAAAATTTCTTCAATTAGTAACTATGGTCTCTCTCACCTCAATCAGTTCATAAAGTTTTAGGAAACATATCTAAACCCACTGACTGGTTCATTCTGTTGTCAGGATTAAATCATCACACAACAACAATTGACCAGGGAGGGTGGAGGTCCGTCTTATTTATGTTAATGACACTGTCCTGTTTTTTTTTTTTTTTTGTCATAAAGAGGGGAACCTATGAAAAAAATATATATATAAATAGGAGGTTTAACTATTCTTTTCATTGTTATGATGTCTTTGACATAATTTTGTTTATAATTTTAACTCTGACACCAAAGGGGTAGACCTGTCTAGAAAATTTTATAATTGCTGGTAAGTAGTCTCTTTCCCAGTTTCCACCAGCCAATCCACACCCAATTAACGATGGAAATATTACCAAACTGTATTTTCCATTAGATACTTGCACTGCTAATTTATTTAGACCTTCATTAAACCAATAAATCCTGTTTTGGGATGTATCTTTTAAAAGGCCAGATAAAAGTTGATGATCGAAAGGTTCTAAATGTCTAGGATTTCTTCCTTTAGGTCCAACATCAACAGTACACGACTGCTGTAACTGCTGTATGAGTCTTTTTGTATAAAGGTTTTGATTTTTCTCCTTCCCCATATAAAACTGCCCAAAAACATTTATAACTACTGGTCCCTTTGTTACAGTGTTAGGATGACAAATCTCAATATTTCCTGGTTGAGGTCTATCTTCAAGCATAGCACGGTTTAAAGTGCCTATTGCCCGGCGTCGTGTATAAGAACCACAGTATGGATATATCTCAGCAAGAATCTGAGAAAGTCCATGAGATTTAACAGCTACACAGTTGAGTATTTGTACAAGCGCTATATTGGGGCTTCTATATACAGGGTCAGTAATGTCTCCATTAATAAACTCCAAGTTATCTACAAAGAAGAAAGAAACATTGGTTATACCATTACAGTCCATAATTATCTTCTAATATATGTTGCCAAAGAATATATTTTTAAGAGATTAGGATATGTTTGATTACCTTTCTTGATAAATTCCTCCATTTCAGTCCAATAGTTTGTGAATTACTTCAAATATTTTCAGTTGTATTTGTCATGACAGTGTTTGTATTATAATATATGAAAAACAAAAACTGTTGTATTATATATAGTTATGATATATTTAATATATATATGTTTTTCTTTTTTTATACCTTCTATCAAAATTTCGTAAGACTTATAAGAGTTGGGTTTGGTATCCGTTTTCAAGTTGGGATTATATAATAAATAATTAAAAAATGGAAGTCATTAAGGGGAAAAACAAATTGACTAAGCCTGATGAATGTGAAACACTAAATAATAGAATATCTAATCATATTCGTTTTACATTTAATACCCACAAACGTCATTTAGGGAAAGGTGCCTATGGTAAAGTTGATCTTGTCCAAGTACCTACTATTGAACTTCTTGATCCTAGATTACCACATCAAATACATGTGTTTCAAAATATTTACCCACACACGGCTTCCAAACTTTTTAAATCTTCTAAGAAGAAGCACAAACGAGGAAAAAAGTATCTACAAACATTTGTGGCTCGAAAGAGTTTTCGCCGGAAAAGGGATTTTTTAATGGAGATTGAAAACATTTCACGTCTTGATGAAAATATCAGAAAGGCATTCTTTGTTCAAGTGTATCGTGTGTTTATGGTCGAAACTGCCTATAATGTAATACACTGTCCACAAGGTAAATTTCTAGAGTCATCACAACCTACAAAAGTTCCTCATTCTTTGAATAATATTGAGTATAAATGTCCTTTCAAATCTAAATCTATAGGCTACTTTATCGAAATGGAATACTTAAACCCACGCGATTGGATCCTACTAAGGGAAAAAGTCGACTTATTGAAAAATGATCAGTATTGTCGTCAACAATTGCTTACTACAGTTCTTAGACAGCTTATTGATGTTCAATTAGTCTTATATAATACTACTGACAAATATATATCAGGTACTTATTACGATATTAATCCTCAAAATGTATTTGTATCCAATGATGACATTCATCGAATTAAATTAATTGATTACGGAGGCCTTTTTCTTCCTTCTTTAAATATATATTCTATAATCACAGAACCGATGCCAGTATTTCATTCCGAAAATATCTGTGATGTCTTTTCTAAACAAATATCTAAATCAAAACTCAATTATAAAAGATATGTTCAATATCTTTCTAACCGATATTTTACACGTTTGCCTAAACGAGATAAATACAGTGTCATTCCTACTATGTATGGTATCATTGCAACCGTGACAATGTGTGTGATGTTAATGTGGGGTTGTGAAAGACGAGATAAAGTACGCCACATTTTAAGAAAAATTATTCACTCATATAATCCAACATTGATTTTGAATGATGTCTATAAAAGTCAAGAGATACAAAAAAATATTATAGAATTGCTTAAAACCTCAAACATCGTTGAAAACCTAACCCTTTAGATAAAAAATGAATGCCAATTTTGATTTCGATAATATGGAATTACATAATTTTGATACTTTTATGGAACCTCTCTTAAAATACATTTCTCCAGAACACCTTTTAAAAACAGTCCATCCGAATTTATCAATATACCAGAGAGTTGAAAAATGGCGTCAACTGGAAAAAAGTAAGAATGTAGCATGTTGTTATAAATGTCGCCAGTCAAATAAACCACTACACCTCCTCCAAATACCAACATTACGAAGACTTGCAGATGAGTCAATCGAATCTCATCACTTTTGTGATGACTGTATTAAAAAATGACGATTTATGTTTATTCCAATAAACTCTTAAACTCATCTACTAACTTGTATATAACACAAAATAAAAAGAAATATAAAACTATAGCCTATGTCATTCCAATAAATTCATTTAACA